TAGTATTTAACTGCTGCAAGGTCAGCTGTCTCAACAGTGAGGTATTTAGTGGACTTGCTGAGATGTGTGAAATGGAAGTTTCAATTAAGCAGCCAAAAACTGTCATTTGCCTTGGCTCAGAGGAAAGCCCTGCTTGCTGCCCACGTAGCGCCCACCCTGGCAGCCTACAGCAAGGGACCACGTTCCTCCAGCCAGGTCAATGCCCTGTCCTCACAAGCCAGAGACAAGCACTAGCTTCAGTACAGCTGCTGAAGATTGAGGTCTGCTCAGAGCTCTGAGCAGCACCCTGCTTGCACCATGGCCTCCTAGAAATGTTTGGACAGGGGACATTGTCCCCCCAGCAAACACTGGTGTCCCTCTGAGCCCCAGGGCTCAGCACTGCATACCGATGCCCGTAAGTGAGAGCTCCTGGCCTGTGACTCCTTCCCATTAGCTGCATCTGAGGGCAATGCTGCTTCTTCAGGAGATGTTTGCAAGCACATCTCCCTCCAGTCACCTGTGGTCAGGCCAGCTCTTTTGGGAACTGGGGATAGGATAAGCCAAACTGTTTTTTTTTTCACTCAAATGAAAACTTGATTTTTTTACTTTTCCATGAGATTTTTATGTGACAAGGATATAAGAGACAATTTAAGACAGTATCCTTGACGGTCGGAATTTCACTGGGAACAAGTATATGTGGCATCTTGTGAGTGAAATTTCCCTGACCCCCGTACACAAAACCATCTAGCCAAACATCACAATCCCAATAGTCATAGGCACATTTCAGCACAGGAATAATTTTCTTTCAGTGATGGGAGTATAATCAGTTCTCGTACCAAGTTGACAAACTCTCTGGAAATACCTACACTGAATGGAAAGGAAGGAATATACAGCTGAGGTCAAAAGACAAACAAACAATGCATGAGTCATACGTGAGACGGAATAGAAAATAACAAAGACAGGATTATAATTCCATTATAGCCTTTTGTGAATACAGTAATGTTCTCAGATGGGAGAGAAATTAAAATTCTGCTGTACATTTTTTTTGGTCCTCAAATGGACAAACAATTTGAGGGCCTAAGTTTTGTCCTGAAATTATTTGTAGAAGAATCTTCCTTTGGGTTCATAAAATAGGTTCTTTTTGTCATCTGGAAGCATTTGGTTTTAATTGCAAGCATAAATATCATATGAAATAAACATAATTTTGACCCCATAAAACTGATTATTTTTAAAAAAGCTAAAATATCAGCAATATCAGTTCTTTTCTCAGCTGTTCTAAGTTGGAAAATGGAATATACCTTTCCTCATAAGTTGTTGCAATTTAAATCATTTTCATCATCCTGATGAAAACAGCAAATTTCCAGGCAGCTCTAATGTGCATTCCTAGTTGCTTGCCTCAAAAAACATGTGGCAGAACGTAGAGTTTGGAGAATGGTAATGAAGGTAACAAAGGGACTGGAAGAAAAATCTCTGGGAAGAGACTGTTAAATGTCATCCTTTTTTCCAGGAAGGAGAAAAATGGAGCATACAAGATAACACTGTATGAGCAATGAACAAGTCCAGGAAAGGAGACTGGGAGCTCTGTTCTCTTGGCCTCATAATGTAAGAAACAAAGGGCAATTCAGTGAGAGAAATCCAAAGACAGTAAAAGGAAATATTTTATTTTTTATTTTTGCATAGTGGAATTTATTGCCAGATGATGTCACTGAGGGAGCAAATTCAGAAACACAGTGAACATATATACAGATAATAGTAATATCTAAATTCATAATAGGTATTGATAATACCCATTCTGAAAGAAATACAGAGTCTTAAAGAAGGAGGGTTAAAGATGAACCTTGGCTATTAAATACAGTAGCAGATGCTGGCTCTTAATGACAAAAAGCTAAAGTCTTACAATTTTGGACTATTTCAGTCAGACAGCTGCAATACTCACAAGGATACATGGTCTTATATAAGACAACAGCCATCAAGTAGCAACAAAATACTGCCTTTTCATGGCAGTTCTATGGATGGATACAACTTACAGTTTTCTGGTCAGTACAAAATCTGAAAATCTCTATTCATTCTGAGTCATTAAGAATTAAATGTTTCCTTATGTGAACCACACATTCAGAAAAATATTCTTTTGGGGGAGAAAAAGACGAAAAGAAAAACATACCTCAAGATTAAATATTCTCTTATATATCTTACTCATGTGTCATTTCGGTTATTTTACATCATTTCTTGAGACACAGCCATTTTCGTGTTTGCTGAGAGTCATTTAAAAATCCTTTAAACAAGAACTGCTCATCCAATTCCTAGTGCTTTTTTGTTCCAAATGCTAAACTATGCTAACACTAGTAGGAGACACCATCCAGAAAAGACAGGTTGTTTCAATCACTGCTGAGTAACTACTGCCCTTATTATTTAGAAAAAAAAAGAAAAAAGAAAGATAAAAATAATGATCTTCCCACTGCTATGAGAGCAGTCATAGTAATGCAACTATCACATCTCATGCCATCCGTTCTGTCATATATTATTTCATTTGATGAAGGTGATGTGTGCTTCTTTCCACTTACTACTTGTCTCTTCTCCCAACATTCATCCTTCTTTTCCATCCCAAACCACTGTAACTGCCACCACACTTCTACAATAGATTAGGCCATGCCAGTTGGAAGACTGAGTGACACTAGAATGTCAATAAATAACTCAAAAAAAAGCAGAGAAGAGCAAACCCACATTTTTCATCTCTGTGAAAAGAAGAAAAAAATGCTAAAACATCAGCATCATTACCAATTATTGTGAAAAAAAGATTTACTCAAAAAGACATCCTGAGAGGGCAAAATCACTCAGCAAAAATGTTCTGCGTAGCTTTAGTCAGTGCTGATCCAGAGAAAGATCTGGTGCAAAACTCAGTTACAAGTAAAAGCCAAGAGTGATTTCATGGCAAGAATGAGCTAGAGGGATTCATTCGAGAGCCTAGATGCAGCGACCATTGAGCTACAATTCAGCAGCAGGTTGTGGCTGTTCCTTAGGAAAGCCTGCAGGCACTGCGACAGCCACTAGATGTGTGGGCAGCTAGTCCAATTAACCAAGGAATAAATCTAAAGAACCCTGCAGACTACTGGAAGAAGCTAAGAACAGGCAGGTCTTTTAGCCTCGCCCTAAGACTTCTGTTTGTCAGAAGAATACCTTGTCCTTTCTAAATCTTGGAAATCTTGGATTGGTATGCTTTGCAGGAGGGAGAAGGAGCATAGTTTTTCTCTTTGAGGAATTACACTTGAAAGGAACCAGCACTCATGCACAAGTCAAGAGACTTCTACCACCCCACACACCAGTGCTGAGGTCCAACAGCTCCAGGCCCTAGCGTCTTATAATTCAGCTCGTGTTTGGCAGAGCCTTACATGCTTTCTCTACACAAATTGGGCCATTGCCTGACTCTTGTTAAAAACTCAGTGAACCAAATTCTTAGGAAAGCATTTTGCTCTCTATACCCCTAGGCAGGTGTGAGATGCCAGAAGAACAGGCTGCTCATATGACTTCCCAGCATTGCAGCTTCATACCAGTTCCCTCTTTTGTGTAGCTCAGCCATTAGGGCTGAGCCCTGGCCAGCTGGCTCCGCGGAGCACTGTGTGCTCATATCCCACCTCTCATCTGTGAGGCCTTCTGAGCTGCTGTGTGTCTCCAGATGTGGCTTCCACATTGCAGTGCAGAAAGAAAAAGAGTGTTCTGCATCTGCACCTGTATCTGTACCCTGTGTGTGGGACAACGGGGGTATCTTGTACTGGTACCTCATTCTGAAGGTTTCTTCACTGCAGTCCTCTTCCTTAATAGCCTGCTGATATTTTCAGCATAGACAAAGAAGAGGAAAGTTCCTTGGGGCAGCTCAGAGCAACGAGCTCTGCCTGAATGCTTTTCTTCTGTACTAAATTATCTTCTCTTTATATGCCCTAGGAACCTTACAGTCACTTTTCTCTTCTCCTCCATAAACATGCAGCATGCTTAATAGGTCCTGTACCTCCTCAGCCCAGACTCTAGCCATTCTTTAATATTCCCTTCTGATGAATGTTGGAATTCAGTTGAGCTTTTGATGTCCATTTGCCCCACTTGGTTCTTCTGAAAATCCTTGAGTTTTCCCAGTTCACATCATGCCTTCTGTTATTCATGAACTTTGGAGGACATTTCACCTCTTGAAGCAGTATGGGATATTTACCTCCTGCAAACTGGTCAGCAATTACAACTAGGAACAAGGAAATGTTTCCAAACCTTTCTATCTACAGCCCTCTTTTTAGAATTATGATCTCACCTCTCTTTCATTCTCAGTACAATTAGTTTGGGAACTATAGGAAAGAGATAGTAAGAGAAAGGAATTACAAGAGAAAGTTCATTGATTCCCAGGTTCCTCCTCTTGGAGGAATGATGGAATTGTAAGTTGCTCCTGCTCTGAGGCCTATAACCTGTACTTGGCTTGATTTGGCAAGAGTGTATCTTTCAGGAAAGCATCCAGCCTGAATTCAAAAATATTAAAGCACAGAGAACTCCCTACTTCACTTGACACTTTTTATAGTGGTTAATCACTCTCTCTGCTAAAACTTAGCAGGTCAGAAATCGCAGGATGGAAGCCTTGTCTCTGTAACCAGGAGCTAAGGGGAAGCTGTCATGGCATGTGTGCTTCAGCTGGGAATAACAAAGTCAGTGTTCAGCTCTGCCCTCTCACATCATGCTTCAAGGTTACTTGCTCTCAGCTCTTACTTTGGCTTAGATGTTAGCTCTCCCTCATCAGTTAGGCTCAGAGATATATGAGCTTTCTGGTTTCTGTTAGATTAGATAAGTGTAAGTGACTACACTGGGGCTGACAGAGCTCTTCAGAAGAGATGTTTGGAAAGGCTCACACTGTGCTACCCAAATGATCCTAATTACCTAATTATCCTTATCACAGCAGCTGACTAGGCTGACTATAAAGCTAAACTCACAAACAACCTACAGGCTATAAAAGCTGCTAGGTAGGTGGGTGGGCAGGCCAGCTGGCTGCCCAGTGGGATAAGTAGGTGTTGGAGTGCTTTTAAGAAGGATTTGATGGCATACAGGTGCATGCAGAAGATAGACAGCAGCCTGCTCAGAGCCCTGGAAGGCCATGCAAGTCACAAGAATATTATCTAAAATGTTACACCCTTGCCAGCTTCAGAAAGGTAAGAAAATAGTAATAATTTTTTCTTTTGTGCAATCTCTTAAAAGAATTGCTGTCCCATAGAGAACTGTATTTTTTTCCCAAGGTGTTAAGTGTATCAAAGGACTTTCCCATCTTCTAAGATGAAAGCTTTCATAGAAAGGGGGAAACTGGTGGTATTTTTATTGCCCAGTTCTCGCTCTCAGCAGCAATGGGTTTGATCATAGATGAGCTGTATGTAAGTAGTCAGATGCAGCAGAGTGTGTGTCCTGTTCAGCAGCCTTTCAGGAAGGGAAAGGGTGGCTGTCACTGCTCCTGGTGCTCATCCTTGCTCAGAAGAGTTAGTTCTCTATAGAAGCCTGTGCTCTTTCCTGCTGTGGTAGATCCCTATTGTCTGATATTTGATTTCCTGTAAATGGATTTCCACTGCTCTTGAAACATTTAAATAGAAACCAGGATTAGTTGAGCAGGGCTGCGTATACACAATTTAAAAGCAACCCAACTGAGCTGTCTCTTTTTATGTAGCTACCACAGTTTGACTTCCCTCCCTCAAAGGCCCTATTTGATTATAGCAATCTCCTCATGTATGTTTCCTGCCAGAGATAAATCATAGTATATAACCAAAAACATGTAGAAACAGCAGGCAGGATCATAGAGGCAAATACCTGGCAATGTAGGGGTGAACCACTTGAGCTCTGCAGTGGGAGAAGAGCACTGCAGTGGAGTGGAATCCTTCTGAAATAAAAACAGCTAAAACTTTCTTTTTCCTTAGGATTTTTTATACCTCAGTTCTTTGCTGGTATCTTTTCCACATATGTAGCTTTTCCCATCCTGCCCTCACATTTCAGATAGCATTTACACAGTAACCATTTTAATAAAAGTATTTGCAGGTCCAGAGCTGAGGCATCTCTGTATTGTAGTCTTAATAGCCCAATATTAATAGCTCCAGAACTTCTAAGACTCAGAAAAGCTGGTCTGCTTGCAAGTAATAAAAATGCACATTGCTGTGGACCTCCCAGTTCCTGCACCTGCTGGCACAGGCACACTCAGTGAAGAAAAGCTTGTAATAATATAAAAGCTTGGAGTTCTGGAGACTTAAAGCTGAGCAAATCACTGGAAAAGCAGGTTTGCACTGCAGAGAAATGAGCTTAAAGGCCCAGAAAGCCACAAATGTTGATTGTTGCTAGATCCTGCTCCACTTTACCAACCTAATGTGAATTAGCTGAGGTTATAAGGTTAATCTCTGCAATGTTTACCACTTTCTGAACTAGAGGGGAGCACAAGCAGAATGTGTCACATGGAGGGAGGGAGGTACTGGAAGTTCTGTGTAACCTGTGGGAGTTCAGGGAGCTCAGCACCCTGTTGGTACTAAGTGTTGACCAGGACTGTTCCTGGGAGATCTCAGCTGAAGGAGACACGGAATTTTCCCCCTTGCAGTTAACACAGCTAGTTAGAAGGCTGTGTTCTTCATGCTCATGTCAGCTGAGTCTCTTGCACCTGCTACAGAATGAACCATGTTCTGGGCAGGATACTTCCCATTTTGAAAAAAAGAGCTGGAAAACATCAGCACAAATCAAGCTCTTTCAGCTCTTGTAGTTCACCACCACAATTAAGAGTTGAGGGCTAAAGGTATCATATTGGGAGGTGAGAGAAAAGTGCCTGCTTGTAGCTGAAGTTGCTATTAGCCCAAAGCTTAACTCTCATTAACCTAAGTCTAGTCTTGCAGTCACTGCTGGACATGGTCAGTGTCAGCTGGAGGTTTGCTGTTGGGAAGTTTTTCCTGAGTAGTTCTTACAGAAAATGGCAAAGATGCTCTGTCTTGTCTTGATGCTGTAGAAGTTGCCTACTTCAGAGCTGAGCAGTAATAAGAGTCTCTGTCTGGAGAAGCCGTCCCTGTAAAGGCCTTGGAGCTGCAGCGCAAGCCCTGCTCTGGCATCATCACTCTGCCACAGTTTATGTAGACAGGAGAATTTCAGCCTATTTTGATCAAGAAGCCGCAGCCTGTCTGAGGGCTTGCTCTGCCTGCAAGCCCTTAATCACATTATCCTAAGTTTCCATTTCCAGGTCTGCCTCGGGCCCTACCAGCTTATAGGCAATTTCCCCAGCCAAGTGCCTTTAGAGAAGTCAGATTATTAAATTTGGCTTCTTGCTGAGAGGGAGAGAGGTCTGAGGAGCCTCTTGACCAAGTGACCCCAGGAAACAGGAATAACGAAGTTGCTGGTGGTGATGTTAACTATAGTGTCATGAGGAGAGTTACTGCTTCTGTGGTTTAAGTCGCACCAATGTTGTTGGTTAATGCAACAAAAAATATCTACTGAACCAAGCAAAACTAAAAATGGAAAAGACTCTGGAAAGTTCCCATGATAATTGTCTCTTTCCAGACAAAACTGTCTTTTTTGAGACTCTTTTTTTTACTCTGCTTACATTTAAATGTATTTGAAAAGAGAAGGGAGAACAAAATATTGAAATGAAACTTCAGCTCAGGGAGTATTTTAAACAGCATACAGTGAAACACTTTTTTTACTTTTTTTTTTGTCTGTGATTCTAAAAAGGTGATTTTTATAGCTCTGGGAATGAGTCCATCACTCCCAAACAATGTTTACTAGTTTCTTACTTTGTCCCCCTACTCCTGAAATGGCTTTAAATGTGCTAAAACCATTTAAGTTTTTTTCTTCTTTCTCCCTGCTCTTTGAAAATATTCCTAAAATACACGGGTGGACTTTAGAGCACTTAAATAAGCAATTAGTGAAGCAATTAAAGCTTTACTTCAGGACTAAGCTACTCCAAGGATACCCCAAGGGAAATAGTTAACAATAAATACACAAACACACACTTTTAGTAATGAACAGAGAGGAGGGGGGGGAAATCAGTGTCAGTAGTCATGGCACCAAATCTGCATCCAACCTTTTGCTCTTACCACCAACTGCCTACAAATGCTTTATTCTGTCAGAGACTGGTTTTGTTGAAAACTTCTCATACTTTTTTGGGAGGAAATGGTCAATTTCTAGATTTTTTTGACTTTATTCTGAGTAACTGCTGAGTTGCAGCTTCCCCAGTTAAGGAATTAAGGTGAACAAACAGGAAAGTGTTACATGAACCAAAACATTTTGATATCACATCATAATTTGTAGAGGCTGAGTGCTTATCTCTGCTACATTTGCCAAAAGGCCACTAGTTTGGGAATCCAATCCTTGCTTTCCAGAAGGCATAGCAATTACACAGACTATCTGTACAAGTCTGGAGATTTTTATAGCATTATGGAAAAATAACTACAGAAAGAATGAATATGCCTATTTTAAGTATAGTGGAGTTCCCACCCTAAAGTGTAATCTGCAATTTCAGGCTTGATGTGTCACATGTGATGAGGGGAGAGGTATCTGAGCATGAACAGCGAGGACCAGAGCTTGAAAATCATACCCACTGAACCCATAACTTTCCCAGCTATGCCTTTATTTTAACCTGGAACACTCAGCCTTTTTCTGTGGTTTGGTGTTTGATCAGAAAAATGTTAGGATAACATTAGAAATGACTCTGACCATTTTCTTTCTCTCTATTGGGGTTTCCAAACCTTGCAGAAGGGGTTATGTGACTTTTCCAAACAGCTGATGTCCTGTTCCAGCCCTACGGTGACAATGCAGACTACCAGTGTTAATTAATGTGAAATAGGGTTTTGCCTTGGCAGTGTCTGACCTGTTGGAATTACACCCATCCATCTGGGGCAGATGGAGCATTTATGATAACTTTTTCTTTTCTTTTGAAGAACAGTATTTTTATAACAGTCACCAGAGCTCCGAAGACCAAGTAACACTTGGTTAGGACATACTCCAGAAACTCCCAAGGCCAGTTATTTCTACATGTATATGAAACTTGGGCTTTGGTTGACCACAAATTTGATTTGTATTTTCATGGGATCTAGGCTGTTTCATGCATGTCTGACCTTTGGGTGTCAATATTGCTGAGCAGGGATATACAACATGGCTTAAGTGCATTGCAGTGAAATGTATATTCATGTCAAATGGAGATTACTCAAGGTATGGCAGGCTTTTATCCTGGAAAGACATAAATGTATTGCAACAAGTAATTTACTCTTTTTTTTCCATCCTGCTTAGGCTTTTTTCCTCTCTCCCCAAAGCTGACTTAACAGGTCCAGCTAGCCATCAGTAGCTATGTTAGCAGCATAATGTCCAAATATCCTGTGCATCCAGTGCTGCTTTATTAAGGGACCAAGTCAGGAACTAGACAACTCACTTTCTGGTTTTCAATATTCAAAACTCTCACCCTCTATTAAAAAGTCATATGCCAAACAAGAAAGTTCAAGCACAATTTAAAGACTTGCTTGAATACATTATATTAGGGAACCTAATGTGAATATTGTACAAGGATAGCTGCTTAAATAAATGAATGTTGTAGGATAAGGCCAGGTTGCACAGCCAAAGCTGAGTGCCTTGGATATCCTGTGCCTATAAAACACTTAAAGGCACTCTCAGCCTGGTGATGTGTAGAGGGATGTTAATCTATACTGATTAGAGCCACTGTAACGTTTTACAGTGGACAGGCCAATGAAAGTCCAGAAAAGAAATAGGGGTCTTGTTTCCTATATGGCTTCCTTTAATTATTACAATTTCAAATTTGGTTTTTCAAGGCAATTTCTGGAGTAAAGATTAGGAGATATTGTACATAATGGGAAATATTCATTGAATGCAATCCAATGTTCCCAAGCTAATTTCCAATAGTTAGAATAAGGTATTTCTCCTGGGGATGGCAATATCTGTAGTTTCCATCTCTCACATCCTACCCAACTGTTTCCTCGCTACAATCTCAGGTTTCTTCATCACCGCACAGTTTATCCAGGCTCAGATTTAATCAGTAGCAAAACATTCAACCCGAACCCCTGCTTCTTTTTCTCAAAACTACCTCCAAGCTTGCTAAATATTTGCCAAGTAAACAGTTCCTAAACAGACAGAACTCCACTACCCGCTTCCTTCTCCTTTAGGTCTGTTGCAATCTTTGGATTCTTCCCTGGGATTAGTCATTGGTATCTCATTGTAATGTGTAGAAGACTTGACAGAAAGCCATGTTGCCTCCAGGCCAGAAGTTCCCAAGTTAGAGATCTGGCTCAGGGTGCAAGTCCTTGTGTGGTTAGCTATCACCCTCCCTCAATATTAAGCTGCTGAAGCTATTTTCTCTTCAAAATGGTACTTAATTAAGGTTCTCACTTGGCAAAATATTTATCTTGTGCTTTATCAAAGAGAAAAAGTTGTTATATCCCTTTCAGTTCCAAAGTAAATGGATACTACTACCTGTGCTCTCACAGTGATTAATGAGCATGAATTAATTGACTCTTACAAGAGTACTGAGATAAGGAAATATTATTCTCCATCTCATGGTTCAGGGAACCAAGGCACAGCTTCTGCCAAGATCACACACAAAGTCAGTAGCAGAGCCAAAACACACATTCTTTCTGTCCACTAGGCACTACTGCTGTCACCTATCATACTTGCCATGGTTTCTGGTGGTTCTGGCTTTGTTGTGTTTGTATTGTCAAGTTCCTTTTAAGTTATGTGCTTATTAAGTGATGCTTCCAAGCCATTGCAGTGATGCCTGTTCTTCTTCCTTACCTCCAACCTCTTTTATGCACACTTTGACTCCTTTTCTCACTATTTTGAGGACATCTGTTTCTAGCATGTCATACATTTACAGTAGCTTATTTATGATGATGTTTGAGACTCCTTTGGCTCCAATGCCAGGGTGCAAATATCCTGGGTTTTGGGAGCATGGAGAAGACTTCACTGAGTTTTATGTACAGGAAAACCAATATAGTCCCTATATCATGAATGGTGGTCAGACTCTTTAAAATGCCTCCAGTGTTTTCACGCAGCAGGCATGCCTCCTACTCAGGAAAGGTTAGATCCAGTAAAAGACCTCAGGTTCTGACAAATGAACTCTGGATAAGCTCACTGAAGTGGTTTAAGATGTTGCAGTCCATGACCTGCCCTGCATCTCCATTGAAGTTGACTGACTCTGGGCAGCAGAGCAGTGTGTGCTTGAACCGCAGCTGCTCCAAAGGTTAGTTTGAGCCTCCAGGGAGATGGATGTGCTTTAGGACAAGGAACTGGAAGTGCTGGCTGAGGCATGGGCATGGTCATTTTGCTGATGCTGACATAAGGACTGTGTTCTTTGGTAAACCCTAATGGATGTGTTGGATTTCTGCTGTTTGTCCAGGGGAAGCAGAGATCTGAGCACCTCACACAAACAGCAATGTGGAACTGCCCAGAAATCATGGCAAAAGCTTAGGAGACAATGTTGTCCTCAAGCTCTTGCCACACAGCACTGCAGCCCTCTGCCCTTTCAGTTTCTGATGCTGCTCTGTGTGGAGCTGCATGGTGGGCTGAATGAGATGGCTTTCCCAGAACTGCCTCCAAAGCCCTTTGCTCATAAAACATGGGTGCCTATGTTCAGTTTAACAGTCCAGAAAACCACCCCTTGATTCAGTAGCTCTATGAATTGTATTGGTGTGTCTCTGGCTTTCTGTGCAGTGTCAAGATTTCAGCTTCTGAACAAACTGAATTCTTGTATTTAGATCCATTGGGCAGATCCCTCACTGAGGGGATCCAAAAAACTATGCAGTCTCTTCTTGAATTGCAGAAGAGCAAGGCATTCTTGGGGGATACGACACCCCAGAAATCAAGCTATGCTTGTTTCTCTTTTAGAGAAGAGGCATCCTTTTCCAAGAATTAAAGCAAGTGAGTAAAGTGAGACCTAAGACCCCCTGTATTCAAATTCCTCTTCAATCTGAGAAGAGCTAAGTTTGCAGCACCCTCTAGCCAGGAGAGTGCTCAGTGCACCAGGCCATGGATGAAGCAGTGTGAGAATACCCTGGGCAGGCAGAGAGAAAGCCAGGAGCCCAGAGTGCCTCCTCCAGAATTAATTTCAAATTGTATGTTTTGCACAGGTGTTCAGTGTTAATCTTAAATATTTTGCCGAAGTACTGAATAATCCTATTCTCTGCATTGCAGCATACCTAGGAATGAAGTGTGGAAATGATCAGCAGTGTCACCTGGGCTTCTCCTGCTGTATCACATCCTTGCCTGCTCTCAGCACAGCCTTGCTGTTTACACCTGCTGGGACCACACAGCTGTGTCTCTGTGAGACCAACAGGGGCCTTTCTGCTTCACTCCCTCCCCATCTGACCTGCACATCAGCACATGGAAAGCAGGAGGAAGCTCTGCAGTTTCTGCCCTGCGTGCCCAAGTGAAAGGCAGAGCAGCCAAAGGTCTACAGCCCAACTGAAAGGAAGGACTGTGGCAAGGCTGGCTGAGTCCTGGTAGCGTCCTCTTCTCTCTCCATTCTAGTCACAGTGAAGCAGAACAGTATTTGGGTTTTTCCTTGTGCAATGGGTGCATTAGTCACCAGAGGTATGTGGTGTATGTCCATCAAGCGCCTAGAGACTGTGCAGAGGAGCCGGTCTTGAGGAAATAAGTGCTTCAACTGAGGGCCCCTGGTGCCAACCTCAGATCAGCTGGGCTCACCCCTCTTTCTGAGCCTTGTAAAAGGTACGTGAGCTTACTACCTTGTGAGCCATGACTAATGCTCAAGAGATGGCACCACCTCACAGCAGCTGCTTAACATGCCCTCCCAGAGCTCACCTTGTACCTGCCTGCTCTGAGGCAGTTGCCTGTTGTGACCCTCTCTGGAGAAAGCTAATGAGTCTATGGGACAAAGAGCTTCATTCAAACAAGGGTCCTAGAAACACCACAAGTCTCTTTTGGAGATCCTTCCTAGAGAGAGAAGTACAAATGTCTCTGCTGCAGGTCAGTGTTTTCTTATTTTAGAAATTACATATAAACTTAGATGTTGAAATGTAACAATGCATAAATGATACTGAAATGGCTGTTTTGTGAAATCCTATAATGGGAAATTTTTATGAACCTCTTAAAATTGGCAAATGTTACTAATATTCCTCTAGGCAGCACTTCAGCTGTTATTTAAAATGGGATGTGTGGTGTCCCAGAGTGACCATTCTGCTGAACTGCAAAGCATTCTGTAGGACCTGTGAAATATGAAATGATTTAAGGAAGAAAGAGGGTTATGCAGTTTTGCTTTGTGTGGTTTCTACTACCTCTAAAGTACTTTGAGAGGAGAGTATGCCCTGAACTGTAATTCAAACAGTGTTATAGACACTATAGGAGAAAGGGTGGGGGGCAGGAAAAAGGACAGATTAGAGGAACTTGAAGAAAAATAATTGCTTTCCCTATTTGCTTCCCTAAGTATATGAACATCCAAGTGAACTTAAGCAATGTGTTATCTTAAATGTGAAGACTTAAACACATTTCATATTAAGTACAAGTCCTGGAGAACAAGCACTCAGTCTACAGAGCAGCCTCAGCTCTCTGGATGCCAAAGATCAGCAGTAGATTTAGTGCTTGTACAGGGACCCTATAAGGATGAGACTTTTTCCTTCTACCTGGACTTCTATATGCTGTAGTGCAAGGACAAGCCATAACTGTATTATGTAAAAGACTATAGGAGCTTTTTGCATGCAAAAGAGCTTTCTACTCCAGCACAGAAGTACATTATATGTGATTTGTGCAAGGTAAAGCAACCTTGCTGCTGTAGAGTTTGCTTGGTGGTGGCTGAGAAATAGCATAAATCAACATCTGCAACTTCTCAGCAGCCACATGTACTTATTCCTACTAAGGACCTGTCCCTGCATGAGACAGGTGACCCCATACATGTCTGTGTGTGTACATCAAGGCAATAGGGACAGATTTTGGAGCATGCTGCCTGAGAGCAGGGGAGAGGTCATAGTGCTGCTATGCTCAGGTCTTTTGTGCCTGAGAATTCCCCTGTCCTCAGATGGCAGTCTGACATTTCTCCCACATCCCTGCCTCACCGGATGCTGGAACGTCTTGTTCTGGGCTTCTCAGGCTGCTCATGCTTTTGCTTTGGCTTCCTTTGCTTTTGGTTGCACTCCCTCAAACTTTATGCTCAAAGAGCAGCAAGGTTATAAAAATCCTGTGTAGTGCTTTTTTTCTTTTTTCTGCTGCAGGATTCTGTTCACCAAGAACTATTTGTCAGTAGGAAGAAACCAAAAGCACTAGCAGGGCTTTATTTGCTCTTCTGCAGAGCAAAGGGACTGATCAAATGCTGTTCATGGGAGCTCAGTGGTAGAACACAGTAACACACAGCCAAATGGATGAGGAACTTACAGGTGAGAATTTATCCTCACTGGGAATTATGTGTAGAGAGAAGACAGGGTGTGATCAATACCAAGAGGAGTGCTTAGAAACACAGGCCAGAATAATTCAAACTTAAGGGAGAGGAGGCTTGCATATGAAAATCACGAAGAATAGAAAGCACATTCCAGCATGGAGAGCATCTGTGGGGAAAGGGATCCCAGGGGCAAGGGAAGGCAGCCCAGCCGGTGAGAATGGCAGGTCACGCTCTCCTGGCTGAGCTCTCCTCTTAGCAATGCAGCTGTATGTTGGGGGTGATGTGAAAAACAAAGGACTTTCAGTGGCCAAGAAGCCAGTGAAGGAAAATGAAATCATATCCAGGCTGGCTAGGTGCTGCTGATTAATACTCCCAGGGAGTCTCAGAGAAATGCAGACCAGCAAAGCTCCTCCAGGGCACATATCCCATAGGTGAAATCTGGGCTGCCCCTCCTTCCCTGGCAGCAAGGGGACAGAGCAATCTGGTGTGGCACCTGCTGTTTCCAGCCCTGCTCCATTGATGGGTAAGGGCAGAGCCTCCCAAGAGTCAACCACACCAGAAATGCATCTCCCTTTCCAGCAGATCCCCAACAAGGGGGTTATTCCTGTTACCTCCTGCTGTCCCACCTCTGCTGGCATCTCAGGAACCCAACAGGCACCAGATAACAACACACTGCAGAACGGGGTTATGAGAGAAAGATGCTACCTATATATGAGATGTCTTTGCCGCTTAGATAAGCGATGCCCCAACTACGAATCCTACAGTTGTGCTGTGTCAGGCAGGGGCATCTCCAGGGAATATTTTGTAGCATGTCCTGCAGCCAAACCACAGTGGTGGTGTTGAAAGACCCAGAAAAAATTTCCCTTCCTCCAACTGGTTGAAACATGGAAAGGAGTGTGGGGATTTGTAAATTGCCAAATTAAGCTCCAGCCAGAGTCTGTGGCTCTTGTCATTAAGAAAAACCTTGCAATAAATGTTTACAAAAGTGCTTCAGAAATAATGGCTCTCTGTAGAGCTGTCTTGGGAAACTTCCAGTGGAACAGGTTTTTGTTGAAAAATGCTGATTTGCTGAAACTATGGGGTTTGTGGAATCGTATGGGTTTTGACAAACTTTCGATGAACTACAGCAGCAGTTGCCAAACTCAGGGCTGGGAGCCTGCTGGAAGCTCAGCTGTGGAGGTGAGGCTTGTGTCTGCATGTGGGGTCATGAGTCTGGAAGCAGCTAAACTGTGGCCAGATCTTGGCTTTAAGATGTTTTGTGCCAAGGCAGTTCCTCTGTGCAGACTGCCCTAGGGCAGGAGGGCCTGAAGGTGTGCGGTAGCAGAGATCTTACCCTGTGATGATGGGAGAGCTTTGGGGTTTTCCAGAAATACTTTGCTTCACTCGGAGCAGATGTGGGCATATACCTTGCAGGTGCAGCTGTCATAGACCTGTGCAAATTAGTTCTAATGAATGGTAAAAGAATAGGAACAGCTTTGAAGGAACAGCAGCTTTCTTGAATCCTGCTCTAGTTTGGACAATAGGTTTCTTCTGGCTTGCCTGATTTTTTTTATATTACTATTTTTACTGTCTTCAGAAAGCACTTCCACTTTTTGATTTAATATAGTGGGGGTTTTCTACAGCGATCCCAATGATTTGGAAACTTTTCAAATGAAACTTGAAATGCAATGAGTGTTTGATTTGGGGTAAGATGTCTCTTCTGAGTCAGCCTGAAGTAATAAATGGCTTGTTCTTAGCCACTGACCAAAAAAGTCCATTTTCCTGAGTGCATTTCTCTGCAAGGTACTTTCATGTGGCCACATGGGGCCAGTGTGTCCAGCCACTAGACAGAACATGTGAGCCCAAACTGCTCTGATTTACCCCCAGTTCATCCCATTCACTTCACTGGCAGCAGCCTGTGTTGCCGTCAGCAGGGAAGAGCTCCAACCCCGCTCTGTGTGGTTATGCTGCCAGGAGCCTGCCAGAGGAAACGCTGCTGCTTCTGCTCCTTGGTACCCAGGCAAGCTCTGGGGATGGACTGCTGCTTCAGCTGCTGACTAATCATACCCTTAGCACTTCCAAGGAATGATTTGAAAATCAGTACTCTATTCTTTAAATAACTTTTGTGCTTGATTACAGGCTCTTGTCTGTTCCAGAGGCAGATTTGTCAGTGATGAAGAATGGGAGTTTACATCATGGAAGTCAGTGGATGCCCAGTCTCCTGGATATTGTTACTGATCATGAGAGAAAATATTAATGCAAACAACTAAGAAGCTACATCTATATGAGGTATTTTTTGTCTCAAGATAGCAAAAGTGAGCTATAACTGAGTTATTGGAGTTTCATACCTCAGCATGGTAGTTAGCATGTCTGAGCCTATAGCTATATTAACCTCCTGAGACCAGTTAATTGACTGCTAGTTGATAAATAGTATGCCTGCTATTAACCAGAATGAGAAGGCACAGGGGAAGAGGCTATTTCAGTGACAGGTCCTTTAGGGATTAGATGCAACCTATAACAAATCAGAGACAGTAGCCTGGATTCCTGTGAAATGTCCTGTTACTCCCTGCAGCCACACAACAATCCAGACCAGTCCCTTTCAGCCTGCCTCCCTTCACTGCCATGGAGCTCTGCACTGCTTTTCAAAGGTGTTCCAAACCCTCATGCCCTTGAGGGCTGCCCACAGACCTAGAGGAGGTGGGACTCCCTTTCCCACACATCGTCTCTCAACCATGAAGCACCATCCTGTTGTTTGGAAGCACCATCCTTGGTCATTACAAGGCTGTGGCAGAGCTGAACCCTGGCCTGGTGCTTCCTGGGGACTGGGTGACAGGGCAGGAAGGAAGGGGAGCAGACTGTCTCCTGGCTGGAGACATGGCATGAAGCCGGATCATGCTGCCAGGCTGTGTTCCCCACTGCAACACGTGGCTGCTGTGCCTGGCTCTCAGCAGAAAAAGTCCTTTTCCTGAACTCTGCAACCGGGCATTTCTCTGCATCCCCTTCTCAGTTCCTAACACCAGCTTTCACTCTTTGTAACTGTGAAACCTGAGAGCCTGCTAACACAGAGAGGAATAAACTCTGCTTGGGAGTGACCAATCATTATCCGTGCTATGAAATGTAAAGACAAGCTTTAGGCATGGAGTTCTTAATCACTTTATAAAATATTTTTATAGAAACATAGGTATTTTTAAAAATTAAAAGGACTGCCTAAAAAATCTGATCTTTAAAAAAAACTGTTAGAAAAAGTGGTGAGGTTTAAGGTAAAAAAGAAAGTCCACAACTTTTTTTCTAGGGGATTCATAAATAAAATTTAGGAGATGAAATGATGAAACTGATCTCCTTTTTCTCCTTTCAGTTAAGGAAATGTCAAAGGAATGTAACTGCCAGTATATTTTAGTGATCTTGCAGTGCTTTTATTTTAAAAAGAGCAAGAGGTAAAGCTATGCACCTAACCTGTTATCTGTGAACTGAATCAAAAAAAGACATCATGGGAAACCTGGAAGCAGAGATTGCCATTTGCTATGCATTTATTAATTGTTAATACTGGTGGTGTTATACTAACAGCTAGGGATTCCATGTGAGATCACTTCAGTTTCTCTGCCTCAAGCTGCTATTGATTTTGAGCAAGTCACTAAATCCTGTGGTTCAACAGTAGCAAAATGGGCAAGAGCACTGCCCAGGCTTGGAAAGGCTTGTGTGAGGATAAATACAACAGAGGCTGAGTCATCAGTGCAGTGGTGCTGAGTCACAGGGATACTACAGCTTGCTTTTTCCCTAAGGTGTCAGGTGTGGGAAAACTTAAACATGCTGAAATGTTTAGTTATGTGTAGAGTGTTCAAAGACCTGAGTCTTCAAAATGTCATCACGCGGAGTATATTTATCACTACCTTTGGAAGATAGAGGCTGGAAGGCTTCTTCTTGTCAGGGTTATTTGTGCAGCTGTGAGGATCTGCAGGTAAGGGAGGTGAAGCTGCTCTGCGAGCAGCACCAGTGGCTGGTTCCTGTCTACAGGCACAGGGAAGCTGACCTGTCTGGTGGCAGCACTGGGAGCCAGTGGGGAACAAAGCTAGCACCCTAGTCCTGCATTGTCTTTCCTTGGGAGGCTTTTAAGAAGATCCATCTCCTTTCCCTGCCTGCCCTGTATAACATTCTAATACAAACTTAAATTCAAGGCTTCCACCTATTTCTCCAGACTGCTAAGAAATTTGAAATTCATTAGGGAGGGTTGAAATACTGATGGATAGGCAACCTGATCCCATAAGCCTGGTTTCCTTAGGAAACTAAGCTAAGAAATGCACCCTGCTCTTCTCAGTGGCTTTTTAATTCTGGCAGCTGAGCTTTTAAAAACTTGATACTAAGAGACTTGACAGCTGGCAATGCTGTATTAAGCAACCCATCAAAATAAAATATAGCCTTCTCTCTTCTCAAGAGCCAGTGCTCAGAAATTCCTTTAGCATTTAGGTGCCAAAGCTGTGCTACCTTGAAGCCTGACCAAGCCCTGAATATGGAGCACAGGGCTCACATAGCTGCTGCCCCTCACAGCTGGGTACCTGGTGCATCGGCAGCCCAGCACAGTCCCCTGCCCCATCCTGCACTGCCAGCCCAGCCCTGTCCAGCCACAGCTCTGCAAATCTGCTGGCCCCTGTGCCCACAGGGCTGGGATTTGTTGGTGATCCAGGACTGTGCCCCTGGCTCCTAGTACACGGACTGTGAAGGAATCACTGGCCTGCAGGGATTTCCCTGCTGCTCCCTCTATAGGAACTGCAGTGGCCATGTGAGGCCTGGGTATGTGGGTTGCCTCAGCCCCAAAGTGTGCTTGCAGAGGTGCTCCTGTGACACATTCCTGCTTTAGATGAAAGAGGCCATTTGCCTCTCACGTCCAGCATGCTGGATGTGCCCTTCCTGGTAGGAGAAGCTGTCTGCTGGGTCCTTCAGACCCTTGTTCTGTTTGCTGAGGAGTGTGCAGCGCTGCCTACCTGCTCCCTCAGGCCTGGTGGCAGCTCCACATGGCGGCTCTCCAGCCCCTGCCTGGGCAACAGACCCCCTCCAAACAAAGAAATGGGCACAGAAAGTCTGCCCCCCTCATCAAAGTGAAGTGCTGGGCATCTGTACGCAGCATTTTGTGTCAGTGTCTATCACAGGTTGTGTAGAGGGCTGGACACACACCTGCCAGGGGACCTCATGCTGTAGAGGGGTGCTCACTAGGATAGACACCCTGGGCAGTAGCTAGAAGGAAGTAACAGAAAAACTTTGCTGGTGGACCCCAAGGATTTGAAGGCTCTTGAGCAGAGGGACTGAGCATTTTCACTCTCCTTTTGCATATAGGAAACCAAGTATGGGCCCAAAGACCATGTGTCTGTCTTGGTCACAGCTTTCAGAGCAAAAGAGAGATAAGGAGAAAAAAGAGAATGAGAGACTACAGAGAAAATAGTTTCAAGTATCCTTTGGAGCTGTGATTGAAGATATTGAATAAAAAGTTGTGTATCTCATTGGGATAGAGGGGAAAAATGGATTAACACAACAAATCTGCAGCACTCCAAGAAGTTGTTATTTTAGAGAACGGGACTGAACAAAGATGCAGCTGGTAATCTCTTTGTCATAAAACATTTTGTTGCATTAAACCAGGTGTGTCCTATTTATATCTTTCCCAGTACTTAGTGATTTATGTATAAGGGCAGCAAATTGATATGCTAGAATAGTTAGACAAATGAATTTCTTCTCAAACGTGCTGACATTGCCTGAGACTGCAGCATGCAGCAATGGGAGCTGCGGTCTCCCGGGAGCCTCCCTATCATTCAGGGGCAAGCTGGAAAGAAGATACAATTTGCCATGCCATTGGCACCACTTCCTGGAGCGCTGCACCAAGCCAGCGCTTCTTGGATTGCTTACCAAGAGCTGGTCCTCTGAACAGAAGCTGGGTGTTAATGGTACCCGCGTCTACTGCTTGCCACAGCCCAGTACTGCTTCCCAGGAGCTGGGCTGGTCGTGCCCCTGCGCTGGATTCTGGCCAACAAGCGTTTGCATGAGGCACCTCTCCCAGTGCCTCGCAGATGCTGCCCTCACTGTCTTCTTGGGGAACAAGGAAACAAACAGAGTATTGCACGTGAAGTCCTGTGAACTCGCAGCCGCTCCTCACTGTGTGTCAGAGCCTGCTCCAGACCCATTTCTGGTATTTACAGCGTGGGAGGACATGCTCACAAATGGACAGAGAAGCAAGTACAGTAACTCCCCAAGGTAGAAAGGTGACATTTACCCAAGATCTCTGAGGGCAGCAAAGTGTGACTCAGCAGGGACATTGGCAGGCTCTTTCCAACAGCAGTGGGCACTGACAGTTCATGGGTCGCATGTGTCAACCTGGCTGTCACCTCTGCATCTGCCCATAGAGAGACTGCTGCAGATGAAGATACCCTCCACTTCCCAGAGCCAAGCTGTGTGGCACTGGGGTGCTGGCCTGCCCTTTTTCATGCTGGAAGATGCTGTTATGTTCTGGCTCCCATGCAAGATCCCATACACTGCTCTGCAGGTGCCTTCCTGCAGCCGTGCCTTCTGGAACCATCAGCAATCACACGTGCTGATTTATAGCACTGCCTCAGCAGCCACATAGTTAATGCAGGAAACCTTGGAGCTTGGAGGCGTCCAGGAAGCACCAAGTGTCCTGCATGCGGTGTGGCTGCTCCTGGGGAGTGCTCCGTGCTCCACCGTGACCCTGGCCTTTTCCGTTCCTCGCTGCCTCGCTTTCAAGTTGCTCCGAGGAGGCCCTCCATGCTGGCCTTTGAAGAGCGTGCAGTGCTGCCCAGGTGGGCTTTGCTTCCTGGCAGTGAGGGAGCAGGAGATCAGAGGCAAGTGGCCGCTCCGGCTGCGCGAGGCTCTGCGCTCGCTGCATTTCATGGGAGATCAAGTTGTCACATGCAGGCTGACAGACTGAAGTGATTTATTGGCTTTTTTTTTTTTCCTTTTTTTTTTTTTTTAACAAAAGGCTGGATTATGTTAGGTGCATTAATAGCACTTATAAGTACAAAACCCACATGAGTGATGCATAAATATTTATCCATCATCCTCCTTGCCCACTGTGGCTAGGGAACCATTCCAAAATATCCCCAGGAAAAGTATTTTGCATTGCCAACTGATCTGCTTCATTCTTTCCCTTCCTTACACAGAAAAGGATACTTTCTGGCAGCATCTGCATTCACTTGCTGATATTTTTCATTATTAGATGCTGAGGTTCAACAGGACACAGAACATCTACTAATCTGAGGCTGGATAGGTAATGTAACAAGTTGAATTTAGTCATGCTACTCATGACCAGGATGTTTGTACTGCTTCTACCTGCAAGGCCACCCGTAAGAAGCTAAGAAATGGGAAGATGCTTGGACACTGAGCATCTAAACTCCAGCAAACAACAGGAACATGTTAAAAAGTAATCTAATGGAATAAGCAGAGATGCTTATTAACTTGTTTCCCCAAAATATATTTTGATGAGACAGTTGTGGTCAGGGCACACTTGCAGACTAGGAATGGGCAACGAGTTCCTTCCTGAAAGCCTGAAGATCCCAGGAGACTGTTAGCAACAGCAATCTGCAGAGACCTACTCTACATCTCCTTGAATTTAATCCCATCTAAATTCTAGTATGCAGAAAACAATGGGAGTTTGTCACTACAAGTATTTAAATCTTCAGTTGCTGACATTAAAAGCCAGAAAGAAAGTTTTTGACATAACCTCTGAACTCCAAAGGGCTAAAGTTCAACTTGGATCAAAGAAGGGTCTCTAAAGAGCTCTGTGCTACAGAAGAAGGGCAACGTAAGGATGCCATATACAAATTGCATTGCTTCTCAGGAATGCCTTGCTTTCTATTAATGCTTTTGTCCCAGAATAGCAGATCGAGCCTCTCAAGAGAGAATGCTGCATTAAAATACTAACAAAGACCTTACCAACTCCAACTTAATGTCAGGTTCCAAAATCTATTCCATTCTCAAAACAGGCAGGATTTTAAAGGCGTTGTAAATGAGGTGGTGCTTACAGCACTGGGAAGTCCCAAAGCCCTGTGATTTACTTGGTTCGTTTCTCTTGTTTATATAAATATATAATAGATGGGAAGTTTGGATCAATCAGCTGTTCCATCCCCTTCTGCTTAGGCCTGAAAAAGCTGTGGTATGCAGCACAGTGGGAGGACAAAGTCCCTGGGTCGGTGGATGGATTAACAGTTTCAACTATATTATTTGTGGGATTATCTGAATCCTCCTTCTAACACTCTGAGCCCATAATTCAGCTGTTGGCTTTTTCAACATCTACAGGAACTCTCTAGCAGCTCAACCATGTGTATGAAAACCAGGGAGGATGAATTGAACACAAGTATAAGCTTCTCTTAGGTCCAATAACCTATTCCGCAGAAACGGGAAAATGCAAGAGTAGAAATTAGGTTTTTGATTCTAAGTGAATTACTGTAATTATATAAAGCTTGGCCACATGTTTAAATAACTGGGAAAACTAAAATCAGACAGGGAACTTTGGAAATTTTGACTTCCATGTCTAGGTCTTATTAAAATATTACTAGTTCTGAAGATCATCAGGAAACCCCAG